CCATGTGGACACAAGAGAAACATTGAAGTTGTACTGCTGTGTGTGTGTGTGTGTGTGTGTGTGTGTGTGTGTGTGTGTGTGTGTGTGTGTGTGTGTGTGTGTGTGTGTCTTACCATGTATGGCCTGTACTTCATTTAGCAGACAAACACACTTCACATCTGATACTTTTCTGTTCTAATGACTTCATGTTGAGAGGGACAAAGGCATGTGACTTTGTGTAACTATCTGCAGGTTAGTGAAGAATGTGTATTGTGTGAAGACTTGTCCTCACATGCACACTGTGGGAGGCAAAATGCAAAATTACCGAAACAGCAGTTCATTTTGGTCCAATCAGAGGAGGCTACAGATGCTGCAAACCTGGTGGACAAGATAAAAGCAGAGGGATGGTAAGTTAGTAAAGTGCATCATAAACAAAACCAGCTGACATTTGTTCAATTGCTTGTGAACCAGGTTGAGTTTGTGAAAATATTAAATAATCATTATTATTTTTACAACTGAGCTGTTGATGTCAGTATACACAGGGAACATATGTATTCCTTAAGTAATGGGACTAAGAGTCTTAAGTCCAGCTAGCAGCTTTGTGAGGCTGCACAGTGATGCTTAGTGAAATGTCACTATGCTAAAATGCTAAGCAGGCGTTATGTTTAGCGATTACAATCTTAGTTTGCATGTTAGCATGCTGACATTTGCTAATTAGCACTAAACCAAAAGATGTTAATAGAAAGTCATTCGTTTTGCACATTGATTTCATTACATTAGATGTTACTTGTTGGACGCTTTTATCCAAAGCAACTTACATACTCAATACTGTGGACAATCCCCGCAGGAGCAATTTGGGGTGAAGTGTCTCAGGGACACAACGACATGCTGACTGCAGTGGGGTTTGAACCTGTGCTCCCCTGATCCGAACTCCAACACAACACACTAATCCACTGCGCCACACACCTTTGTTTTGATTCATAAATCAAAGTATTGCACAGAGTCAAATATTATGTGGCAGAGGAGGAGGGGTTCGACGGTTCGAATGCAGACTCTGAATTTCACTCTGTGTGGAAAGTCAGACATGCTCTGGGGATCATGAAAACATTTACAACATATCATGGGATTCACTTAGGCAGATATTAACATATTTCACCCTTGAATGGTCTGTAAGTGCATGGCTAAAAGTAGATTTAATAGATAATAAACAGCCTTTTAATTTGAACTGTAGGTGTTAATTGTTATGGTCTGTCTAGGCTATGGCGGGGCCACCAACAGAAGACCACAGGTTATGGGTGTTTCGCAACTTTCGCCCCTTGTAAACAGACGTCTACCCACACCGCCTGCAGCTGACCCTCCTCAGGATCTGCTCCACATGTGTTTTTCCTCACCTATCACGTACAATGTGTTGGAGCGCTAGCCAATAGCGAGCGTGACATAGGGATGTCACTATGTTAGGGAAGTAAACAAAGGAGTCCAAATGGAGGCGTCTTGGGGGTCTTTCACATGCACAAAAACCTACGAAGGAAAGCGAAAAAACCCAATGGCATAATAGGGCCCCTTTAATTGTATGAGCAGGAGCTAGAGACTCATCTAGTGATCCATAAATGACCTGCATGAATATCCGCAGGGCTTCTATCCAAAATAAAGAAAACTATTTTGGGAGTAATAGTAGATTGCAATAATGTGTTAAGAGTCCCTTTAACTATGGTGCTGGTATCACACCCACGCCCAATAATCAGTCACAATGTCACTGTTTCGTTAAAACACGTGTTACCATTCCTGTGAACTTCATTGTTCCATTGTCCCTCACAGATACAAGCGTGCAACCTTTCAACCATCGCCTCATCGGCCTCCTGCCCAGTTTATCCTGGCATCTGCAGCTCGTGTTTTGGGCAACAAACCGGCGTCTGTGAAGCCAGATAACCTTGCCCCAGCGTGAGCACATAATCCCCAGCTGGCATGTAACAACATTTTTACCCAGTTAGTAAGTGAAATGCACACTCAATAGGTTAAAGGTCAGAGTTTATCAGTGAGCGAGTGCCAGTTTCATTGCAAAATTAAACACACACCATCCAAATGTTGCTGTAATACCAGGGAGTCTGCCAAGAGGCCAAGATGCCAGACGGAGCACTGGAGCCTGAATACAGTAGGACACCTTAGAAAACTCCTGAAAAGCTGTATTTAAAATGATGTACTCAATGTTAAAAATCGAATTGATAAAAACGTAATTTAAAAAATCTCAAAAGTGTAAGATTATTAAATTATGTGAGTTATTAAAAAGGGAACATTTGACAACTGGTACACATAAAAGAATATCAACAGGTAGTGGGAAACAAGAGCTACCACTCACATATGGGGGGGGGGGGGTTGAAACACAGGTGAACACATTTGACAGGAGGAAAAACACAGGGAGTAAAACACAAGGAGAGAATAAATGTCAAAATAAAACAGAAAACTAAGTTTGTGACAGAAATAGATCTAGTGGGTTCGAAACTGTTTTGGTGGTGTTGGGTTAGGAAGAGTGAATTCACCTGAGGTCTGAACTCCTCATCTCTGCTAGAGGCTACATTAGCTGCTACTAGCATAACACAAACCTGTTGGTGGTCCAGTTACATTGTGGATAGTGAAGGCACCATGTTTTGACAGCATGACATGAACATGTAACATGCTGAAAATAAAAAAAGGGACATGTCTAATTTTCTGCTGCATTGATTTCAATTCGTTTTTTCTTCGTACTATCTATTGTCAAAGTGCAGTGCAAGAGCGTAGTGGTGAATCAGTTACAGTACATAAGCGTTTTATTAGCCTGTATTGATAATTATTAATTAATGATTAATTACAGTGTTTAAATAAAACAATACAAGTAGGTCAAACCGACACTTGCTAGCTTTGAGGACACAGATTATCCTCCTAGATGCATGTTTGTGTGTTGTCTGTGTTCTTTCCCCTACATCTGCCCTCTGATGCCATGACAGCTTAAATCAGGGGCCCCCAAATGTCAGCCATGATGGTAAACACTGATGTTATATTGTATTTTCTGCTGCAGGGCACGACATTGGCTCCTCCTGAAACAACCTGCTTCTCCAGCCCGCCTCTCAAAAATTACTCTATATACTAACTAAATATTAACCAGGAGGTCTCAAAGTTGTGAATACAGTGATTTATTGATTCCAGGTTTCCTTTTTAATCAGTTTTTTTTATTTGGGGTAACTTTTTCTGACACCATCTTATTTTTTGTTAAAGCGTATCTTTGTATTAAATGTGCTTTACACATTTAAACTTATTATTTTTAACACAGTTTANTGGTTTTAATGAGAAGTTAACCTGCCAACCAGTGAAGTCAGTCTAATAAAGCATTCTAATGATTTAGTTTACACATAATTTTCCATTCCCCGCCCGCGGACCTGAGCAGCCAATGGCCTTTCAGGATCTATTTAAGACGCGGACAGTCCAAGGTGGTTCAGATTTCAGCGCTCCGAGCGCAACAGGACGTACTTCATTATTCTGACCAGGAATACACACACACACACACACACACACACACACACACACACACACACACACACACACACACACACACTATTCCGCAGCGACATCCGACTCATTGATTTCATTGTTCGAGACTTTTACTCTGAGAGGAAACAGCTGGGAAAGGAAATGAAAGCGTGGAGGGTTCGATTTCTGTACTTTCTGGTGTTGAATGCAGCTGTGCAGTATGTGACCTCTCTGGAAGAAGAGCACTCCGATTCTATTTTTGGTGAGTTTAAACTTCATGCACATCCACTCTCACTCACATCGACACAAGCGGGGGTACAAACTGCAGGTTAAATCGAGTTTGGTGCAGATAGTCGCGATGGAAAGCAAATCGTAGACAATGTAGGATATTTATCGGCAATTTACGCGCCGTAGCAGTGTCGTTTGGTCTCTGAGAATGACATTAACGGTCTTCATTTGATAGTATGCTTCACGTGTCTATGACTAAACTCTTGTTAGTGCTTTTTGGCGAATATCCAACATCTACTCAATACGATTAGCTGTCTTTAATTAGAGACATGGTAATACTTTTCACTTTTAGAGAGCACAAGAGGAAGAAAAGTGGAAACTCTCAGCAAACTAAACATGAATTAAGTTTTTTAAATGCTGCTATGAAAAGCATTTCCATTTGCAATATGGCTTCAATACTTTCCCAAATGAAAGCCTTATACATGTCTGTGTCCCTGCAACCCCCACTCTGGACGGCAGCCCCCAGTTGAGTCGAGTCAGCTGACCGTCCTGTGCAGATTATAGTCGGTGAGGAGGCATGAACAAAGCTGGAGAAACTCTGCCAGGTTTCTATGGAGCTCAGTCTGGCCAAGTGAACCCCTGTAACCCCCAGGGACTGATCTGTTCTAAGGTGGAGGCTCATTTATCGAGGGGCCCGAGGGGCTTATTGGAGCCAGTCACTCAGTTAGCTAGTCAGGCGTGTCAGACCTCCAAGCCAGCGATTAGATTTACACATCTGAAAAAACACCAGTGTGACACAGGAATCTCTTCTTTTCTTTGTTCTGTAAGTTAATTTATCCTCTCTTCCAGGTAACTTCCTCGACCCTCTAAAGGACCTGTTTGCCCAAAATGACGACAGCAATCAAACCGTGACTAAATTCTCCCTCAGAAAACCAAGCGTCCCCGATGATGACCTGTGCTACATCGTTCCTGGAAAGCCTGAGTCCCTGGCAGCCTGCAGCTTCGACAGCACCTCCAAAACCTTCCTGGTGATCCACGGATGGACGGTGAGGCCAAAGGCTTCGGCCTGCTGTGACATGTCCGCGTCTTTAAAACAACCAAAGACTTTGTTCACACAACTCTCCTTTGGTTTAGAAAGAAACACACCTCTTGTTTGAAGTGTGTCATTACTGCAACAAGTTTCAGTGGACTCAAGTCCTGCCAAATTAACATAACTTAAAGGGGACCTATCATGCAAAATGCACCTTTGTACGTCTTTTATACATGAATATGTGTCCCCGGTGTTCCAGGGAACTCATCAAGTGTCAGAAAACACAACCCTCTCTCTTTTCCTCCATACCCAAATCTCTAAAAACGGGGCTGCAACAGATTTGATATAAATTGTTCTGACATCAGAAACGAGGAGCTCCGCCTATATGCGCAACTCTCCACCTATCAGGAGGAAACAGCCACGGCCATTGCCGTTCGAAAGCGCTGGAGACGATGTAGTACATATGCCAGGCCTGTAGGTGGCGCTGTAGTCTGCCACAAAAGCAGCGAAGAAGACTTCTCACAGATTCAGCCCTTGCAAAAACAGGGCTGAAAAAGAGCAAATAGAGCGAAATGAGGCATTGGCTAAAATGCATGATCTGTTTGGTATTTAAAAAAAACAAAACTTCGCAGACATGTTTGATATAGGTATGTATACAATATATTATTCAAATATAGCATGATAGGTCCACTTTAACTTATTGACACGCTGCAACGAGTTGAAGTTTATACCAAAGAACGAGGTTTCGACTCAGGTCAATGTTGTCTGGACTTGAGTCAACTTGAGTCTGTTCTGATGACTTTAAACTTGACTTCTCAGAAAATGAATGGAAAAACTTTGAAGTTTAAGATTTGTTACTAGACATGAGACATGAGGAAGGCTTTTTGTAACGTACCGATACCGTTATGAAATATAAGCAACCATGAAAATCAATGCATTAACTTGAGATTTAGACAAATCTTAAGATAAAGTGGACTATAGTTTACTCTGATTTCACAATGTGGCAATAAATCAGATTCAAAGTCAACTTTATTGTCAATCTTTCAGTTCGTGTGCAGACAGAGATCGAAATACTGTACAATCCTGAATACAAAAACAAATATATATAAAAATATGTATGCAAATATGTATATACCTATATATACACAATCAAAAGACACATTTATACATATGCACACATTAAGACCTAAATAAAAGCACAACAATCATTATAAGATTCTCCCTGAACTTCCTTTTAATACATACCACAGACTTATTAGTAGTGATGACATTTTGGAGTTGTGTAAGTCTAATGTTTGGACCGTCTTTGTCTCCAGTTGAGTGGGATGTTTGAGAGCTGGGTGGAGAAGCTGGTGACGGCGCTGTACGACAGGGAGAGGACGGCTAACGTCATCGTGGTGGACTGGCTCGGCTCGGCTCAGAATCACTATGTGGTCGCAGCGCAGAACACCAAGGCGGTCGGACACGAGATCGCTCGCTTCATCGACTGGATCGAGGTCAGTGAGATTAAAGAAATGTGCAAGTTTAACAAAAATATATCACACCCATCACTTTTCATTTAGAGGAGGAGACAGTTTTCCACTTCCTCTTTATCAAAATGCAAATGAGACAGACATTTTCGTAGCATTTCAATCATTATAGAGTGGCGAAGTCACGCCCATCTACTTCCGGTCCATGGGAACTTATTTCGGAAAAATTATGTATTGAAGTCAATGGAGAGAGAAAACGTATCTTTCGATCCCGTTTGAATTGTGCCACAAATTACACATATGATGTTTGTCAATCTTAAAAAAATCATTTCCATGTCCAAAAAAGTCAGTTTGTCATAAAACTGTTGAAATATAAGACTATGAAAAATACGCAACTAGAAAGACTACAAATCCCAGAGTCGCGTAAGTGATGTCATAACTGATGTCCCAATTGTTTTACTCTGCTAAATATAAGAGATAGCTAAGATAAGATAACTTTAACAAGATGCCTGTGTGCTTAGTACCAGGTTGTTATCATACCAGCAATGGGTCTTGCTCGTTCTTTCACTTCCTGTCTGATGAAAGGACCAGGAGTGGCTGGATCAAGTTAGCTACCTAGCTAGTAGCAAGCACGTTAGTTAGAATTACAGCCTTAGCCTTGTCATTTTTATTAGCCTTAACATGAAGTAACATCAAGTAACCCAAAATTATAAACAGTAAGAGTAGTAGTCATATTTCGTGAACCCTTTGAAGAGTATACTGTCATACCGGTGTGATCATTCTATAATACACCATAAAGCCCGGGGGAGAAATGCTAACGCTAACGCTACATTAGCATCGGCGATCTTTTCTACTTCATGATATCTGCACAAATGGTTGACATTGAACATTACAAAGATCAGGCCGTTCAGGGAGAATGGAAGGCAGGCAGGCAGCTTTGCATGACATTCTTCTGGACGTGTTTCATTGTGTTGATAGTGAGGGTAGTTAATCCCTTGTTTAGCAAGACAGTAGTGACGGCCATCTTGGTGACGTGTGTTGTTGTGCAAGACCAGAGATGTAGGTCATTGACCGTTTCACACAAAAAAATGTGTTTCTTCAGTTTTATGACACATTTTCTTTTTTTACTGGTTAAATAATCTTTTAAATTGACAAACATCATATGTGTAATCCGTGGCACAATTCAAACGGGATCGAAAGATAATCTTTCTCTCTCCATTGACTTCAATACATCATTTAAAAAAACATTTTGTGTGTTTCCGTATCTGTACGACATGACTAAAACTAAATGGGTTGTTCTATGGCCCATGCTATATCGTACCACATAGTTTCATGACGATTGGGCCAGTAGTTTTTTGGTTATTTAGCTGAAGAACAGACCAATCAAACTGCATGACGGACGTATAAAAACTTGTGCCGTAATACCAGTCGTTATTTTGTTATCATGTTGTTTTTAGCTTGATAAGTCAAAGAGAGTATTTGTCCTGCTGATGTCTTAAATAATGTCTTCATTAACTTTTTTATAGGAAACCACCAACATGCCTCTGGAGAACATCCACCTGATTGGCTACAGCCTCGGAGCTCATGTTGCAGGATTTGCAGGAAGCCACGCAACCAATAAAGTCGGAAGAATAACCGGTAAAACAACAGATTAATTGATAAAGCATCTCGCAGTTTAATATAGTTGCAGCTCAGTTAAAGGTCCCCTATTATACTGTTTTTACATCAATATATTATAGATTCAGATATATACAAACATGTCTCTGAAGTGTTTGGCTCAAACACCAAACAGATCATTCAGCATTCCCATAATCCCCTCTGTTTCAGCCCTGTTTCCAAAGTGCTGATTCTCTGTCTGTTACAGATGAAAATAAGGAGCCCCTCCCCACGCCCCTCTGAGAGAGATTTGGTTATAAAGAACACAATGGTGCTCTAGGAGGAGATTTAGGTGATAAGGTGGGGGGGGGTTACCTTGGTTGGTGATTGGCTAATGGTTACACAAGCCAGCAAATCGTTATGACATCATAAAGTGGCCAAAATCAGATCAGCTAATTTTCAGACAGGTCTTTATAGAAATGGATCAGGACAAAAAGAGAGAGAATCTTTGTTCCTGAAACTTTCAGAGTCTCTTTCCATAGAGGGGACACATGGTGATGTAGAGGAGACATGGAGAAGAGGGGACACATGTTGATGTAGAAGAGACATGAACAAGTGGATTTTGCATAATAGGTGATATTTAAGTGTGACTGTCTGTGTCTGCAGGTCTGGATCCCGCTGGTCCTGACTTCGAGGGGGAGCACGCTCACAGACGTCTGTCCCCGGACGACGCTAACTTCGTGGACGTCCTGCACACCTTCACACGCGGCTCTCTGGGTCTCAGCATCGGGATCCAGCAGCCCGTCGGACACGTCGACATTTACCCCAACAGAGGCAGCTTCCAGCCGGGATGCAACCTCAGAGGGGCCCTGGAGAAGATCGCCAACCTGGGGTTATTCGGTGAGAACGACTGGCAATTCACCCTTAAAATAAAAGCATTAACTTTACTGTAAATGTTGAGAATTATGAACTCCATGAAATCTCAATAAGCATTTAAATAGAACTACATACTACAGTGAACTACATACTAGTAATTGTGATATCAGCAGAAACCATTTATAATATTAACAAATTCAATTATTAAATGATAATGTAGTATTTAACACATTCAATACAGTCACGTGACAAGTTACAATGCACATATGTGTGATTATTAGTACGTTCACACATAGTCCAGAAGCTTTTATAACACTTCTTGCTGCTAGTCATTAGTCTTAGCAGTGGTTCAAATAAAACCATCAACTTTACTGTAAATGTGGAGAATTATGAACTCTCTGATGTTTAAATAAGCACTTTTAAAGGACTACATACTACACTAAACTACATAGTAATTGTGTTATCAGCAGAAAGCATTCCCAATATTAGGAAATTAAATGATAATATCTTATTCAACAGGATTTAACACATTCAATACAGCCACGTAATCACATTTTTGTGATTATTAGTATGTTCACACATAGTCCAGCAGCTTTCATAACACTTCTTGCTGCTAGTCGTTAGTCTTAGGGAAATTCCTTGTGCACAATGATCTCATTTGCGACCTTTACATAAACAGAGGGCTTCAAACACAGCGGACGAAAAGGTCAAATACACCATAAAGTCTTGAGGAACTTGAAAGGTTACATAAACCGTGTCCGGTAAAGGAATGGGAAAGTAAGAAATTGACTTAATTGCCGGAAGAGAACTCCTTGCGCTCCAGAGCTTCTCTTGATAACTGGACTTAAACTCCCTCTGTACATTTTACATTTATGTTCAATTTAATATTGAATAATTAATTTCTTGCACAATTAATGTGCATATAATATCCGGCATTATATTTTGTTACTGTAAATGTGTATTTCCACATGTATATTTGTTTACTTTTTAGTTCTATCTATCTATCTATCTATCTATCTATCTATCTATCTATCTATCTATCTAACTATCTATCTATCTATCTAATTATGTTTGTTTCCCTCTTCCCTCCCCAGCGATCACAGATGCAGTGAAGTGTGAACACGAGCGCTCGGTGCACCTCTTCATCGACTCTCTTCTGAACGAGCAGGACGCAGCGAAGGCCTACAGATGTGGAAGCACGGACATGTTCGACCGCGGCATGTGTCTCAGCTGCAGAAAGAGCCGCTGCACCGCCGTGGGCTACGACATCAGCCTGGTCCGCAGAGCACGCAGCGTTCAGATGTACACCAAGACACGTGCCTCCATGCCTTTCAGAGGTCAGTGCCCTCTATCAATAGTGGGGTTTGTTTGCTCTGAGGTTAGTTCAGTTGGTGGGAAGTTGCACAATTCTTTGCTACAAGGTCACATGGCTGGTTCTAAATGGTAAATGGACTGCATTTATATAGAGCTTTGAAAGCACTTTAAACTACTCAAGTACATGACTGTAAATACTGAGAATAATGGAGACTTTGATGTTTTAGAGGCACTTGAAACACTTCCTGACACATATTTCTTCCTGAAAAAGGCAGAGTGGTTTGATCCCACCACCCTAATTCCTAAAAAGAATGTTGTTACGATGATCAAGAAGTTGTTCAAAGTCAGCTTTAAAGCCAAAAGTCGGCTGACATGAAGCTCATCATTGCTAAATCTGGATCTAAATGTGAGCAGCATGCATGATAACGATTTGCAAACTGCTCTCGTTCTCCGCAGTTTACCACTATCAGGTGAAGATCCACTTCTCCAGTAAGGTGAACCGTTCTGAGATGGAGCCGTCGCTCACCGTCTCGCTGTTCGGGACGAGAGGAGAGGCGGAAAACCTGGAGCTGAAACTGTGAGTGAAAACCTGCGATGTGCACAATGACACTCTCACATGAACTCTAAATTGATATCTGAAGAACGTGTCGAACCTTATGACTTTTTGCATTCAATGACATGAGTTTTCTCTAAGGCACTCAGATATATCCACACAGGCATGTTTGAGCAACTCTAGCAGCCTTGTGTTTGCTCTTGAAAAGTAATGTGTAGCCTCTGAAGAGTAGATTGTGCAGAGAACAGGTACTAGCCAATGAAATGCAGTTATCATCCAACCAGAAGTGCATATGCTAATATACCATCTAAATGACAGAAAGTGCAGTTAGTACTACAGCATAAGAGATGCTATCACTGACATTAAACAGATGTTAAAATGTAAGTAAATGAAATATGTAAATAGAGAGGATAAGTGGAGTTAGAGAATCAAGAGTGCAACAGGAAGTCGGCTCATGAGACATTTTACATTTTTCATATTTGTTATCTGGATATTCGTAAAGTTTTGTTATTTGCCATTGAATGCATAAGCACTCATACGTTAAACAAGCTTACCTGGCACAAACTGGACACTAAAAATACATCGTTTTTTGTTCATTTTTACACGTCACAATAAAAAAAACGAACAGAACGGTGACTTGCATCTTCCAAGTTGTTTTGGAACAGTAGTCAAAGGAAACAGCACGCAGTAGAAACTATAAAAAGTAATATAACCGCCGACTTGGCAACATTTGCTCGTGTTACTTGTGGTTACATAATAGTTAACTACAGCGTTTACCAGGCTAAGCTAAATAAAATGTTCTTGGGAGTAGAACAATAACTTTCCTTTTTCTTTTATCTGGCAGGAAGGAGAAGTTAGAGACGAATACGACACATTCGTTCCTGCTGGTGACGGAGAAAGACATCGGGGATCTGCTGATGTTGAAGTTTAAATGGGAGGAGACGAACGGCTGGTCGGCCTCCAACGTGCTGAACATGGTCTCCTCGTGGTGGTCCGGAGACTCCGGCAGCGACAACATGGACGTCCACAAGATCCGCATCCGGGCCGGAGAGACACAGCAAAAGTAAGATGTGCTCCTCTGTCTGCATGCTCTTATCTGATTCCAGTTATTTCTACTGTGACGTGTTCTGTTTTTATGTTTGTTCCTTTCGGGACCCCACGTGGTCTGTGTTTTATTTTTATGATGACCTTACATTTCTGCCTCATGTTGTTATTGTATTCATGTTTCTGTGGTCTTCATTTGAACTTTTGTTCTTTCTTGTGAAGCACTTTGGGAATTCTGTGGAAGGTGCTATACGAAATTAACGTATTATTATTATTTCTACATCATGGACATATCTGTACATCTCTGTGAAGCAGTTTCATTGACTTATTTTTTATTGTTATGACAATGGAAAAAGCCAAACTAATCCTAAAAAGGTTCCCACTTTATCATTCAAACTTGGTATTTTTATTTCCTTATGCATATATATTTATGTCCCTGTGAAGCGCTTTGACTCAAAACGTGTTAGATTTAAAAACATTTTATGAATTAATTTTTTTTTCAAACTGTATCGTGTAAAATACTATTTTTGTATATTTTTTCGTATTGTAAGTTGTACAAAATTCCAAATTTCAAAACCTACAGTATCTTACCATCAATAAAGTGGATTATTTCAGTGGATGAAGCACTCATACACACTGTATTTTTCAGGTTGGTGTTCTGTGTAAAAGACCCTGGAGCTCCGAAATTAACACAAGAGGTCACGTTTGTTAAATGTAAGGACGCATGGAGAACGAA